CGTTTGGTGCCCGCTTGGTCTCCGTCAGTTACGTGGCGCCGTTTTGGACCGCCCGTCGGCGCGAAAGGAGAACTTGCACTTCTTGGGCTCCTGCGGCATTTCGCAGGTCCAGGGCCTCAATGTGGCCTTTCTATCTGGAAGCCCCTTGGGCGAGTGAGAGGCGGTGGAGGGCCAAGTCCAGATACTTCCAGGTGCTTCAGTGTTCTTTTTGACCTCGTAGAGTCTGGGTTCAGGGCTCAAGGATTGCTTTGTGCGCAAGAGAAAGAGAGTTTCTGGGTTCGAGGGCATTTCGGTGGAGTGAACATGAGTGAACTATATATCATCCTGATACTAAGTGATACTATGGCAAGCAGTGCTAAGCAGTGCTGAGCAGCAAAGCTTGATTTTTCTATCGTCCAACCCTGCCTATACCACTACTGTTTGCTCCGTGAGAAACGAAGCCTCCCAAGCCTCCTCGCCCTCCTTTCGTTCCTTCGGGTGTCGCGTTGGCCCGGCAAGCACCCAAGCACCCAGGCTACGACTCAGTGGCCTTCAAGCACCAGTGGGGCCGCCCCTTCGATGCAGGTCGGTGTCAAGGAGCTCGTCGTTGGTCCGGTCGGGCCGCGACTGGTTCGGTCGACTGGACCGTGCTTTTCGGTTTGTTTGGGAGAAAACATGGACTTCGAGAAGACCCAACTTCAACGGAGATGTGAAACGTGTTTGGAGCCTTAGACTATAAGCCTCTTTTAGCTCAAATAGCACAGAATTCTCGGTTGATTTTCTGGTTGGTTCGGTCACAAACAGGCCGCCTAAACGGTGAAAGCCAAAGAGGTTGGAGAGCAGTGTCCGGTTGAAACTGGTGCTGGCGATTTGAGTCAGCATGGGATGAGTCACCAGTACCGTAACACAAAAATGCAGTCACTGCTACAACTCAGTAGAAACCAATCCATACCCAGTCAGTGGATAACCTTTATTTATGACCTTTCTTTGCAAGTGGTTTCCCCACTAAACAAGAGCAGGTAGAAAAAAGCTTAAGCCCTATTTTCCAGGGAAACTGAAGAAGTCATAACCAGTCAAACAAAAGATGAACACCATCATTCCACCGAAGCCCTGCCCCGCATGCCTCATGGCTACCACAGACATACCATATCTCATACCGTGGACGGGTGTAAGACCATCACTCCTCCCGTGGAGGCTTGACCGACCATCCCATGTACGTCCTGCACAGACCATCCCGCGTTGTCCACAGGTCTTGAACACATAGACCATCATAGACCACAGACACAGACCGTCTTCTGACCATGTCATGTCTTTTGACCTCTTTGGCCAGCTCGTATACGGCACCAGTGGCTCCCAACCACGACCACTCAGTCCCTGACCAGGCGGACTCGACCAGCCGAGGTGGCCTGTTTACCGGGTCGCACTACACGCAAGCGGCCATCGAGCGCCTGGAGAAGGAAGCAAGGCAGCTCTTCATGCGAGGCGCCGTAGCCTTGGCGTACCGGGGGGGGCGCGGACCGGGATGGGTCGGGAATGGGTTGGTGAACTCTGGAGGACCTCACTTTGGCGTTTGGGGCCAGCTAGCAGCACTGCTTTCAGCAAACTTTGAGGGCTTTGAAACCATCCATGTGTGCATGAAAATTGCCATAGGTGAGAGGGATTCAGGCTTCCATTTGGGAATGACTGACAGGAAGCTTCAATCAGAGTCTTTGCCAGTGATGACGCGCCAAAGACGTCAAGCAGGTCAACGCGTGGACATTCTACTCACCTCCGAGTGGCCAGACCGTTTGTGGCTGCTCGGCATGTGGTGCAAGCGCTGGTCACGTGGCACCTGTGGCAGGTGCGTGTTGTGAGTTTGGGGGGAACACAGAGGTACAAATGGTGGGGCTTGGAAGAAGGAGATGGGTTAGTTTGTATGTATATCCAACTATATACACTTCTTTGCCGTGTTTTGTTTGTTTACAGTTTACCGTCATTCCTCCAGTCACGTTTGAACCATGTAACGGCCATGACTGGACCATTCGGTGGCCAGCCTTCATACACAAATTATGTAACACTGTTGGAGAAGATGAGTGGCGCATGACGTGTGATGAGGGAGTCATATACACAGTCGTAATATAACATGAAGATACTCAGTTATACGATATCATAGGGTTTCTGAGGTGTATTTTTGATATGTGAAAATGTGGCGGTGTAAAAATACTAGTTATCAATGTTCCTGTCCCTGCCCGTTAGCGACCTAAACAGTGAGGGTGATAGCGAGATGTCCCTTACAACATTCACTACCACTAGCGATAGCGAACCAAACAGTCAGGACGATAGCGAATTGTCCCTTACAACATTCACTACCGCTAGCGATAGTGAACCAAACAGTCAGGGTGATAGCGATAGTGAATTGAGGTGGGACGGTGGGACCTTGCTTTACATCTACTTTAGTATACTTTAGTATTCGGGCCTTGCCAGACTTGGGATTGGTCCTTGAAAAAATACCGTCTATTCTTTGTCATTTAAGGTATCCCTGCTGTAAGGGCTTGAAAACTTATCAACCTCTTACAAGTCTCACTACTGCTAGTGATCACTGTATTGAACTTTCAAATTCGCTGGAGCCACCAAAATCTTTTGTTTCCGCAAATCTGTTCAGCGAAAACAGAACATCATCCATGCTCCAGCGAAAATCAGAATTCCATACATGCTTCTCTATCGCTAGTGAAGCTTGTAAGACTCAGCGAAAATCTCAAGCTGTTACAGCACTACATATGTTAAATGCAACTCCATGAAAAAAAGAAATCAGAGTCAGCACTGACTGTGATCCAATGATATAATGTGATCCATATCCACCCATGGATCAGATTCCGGGTTGGTGGTTGGCAAGTTGCAACAAAGAAGCAGTGTAAGCCTTGCTGGGATTTGGTTTTAAGAGGCCTACCTGCCACACATTCCCTGAATGGTGGTGCCAGTCTGCAGCCTGCAGCTGGCTTAGTTCCCGAAAGTTACAGTTGTCATGAGTGTCAGGTTGGACAGTACCCCCCTTGGATCCCTCTCAGGTGGTATTTTTTCAAAAGGTGATATTCATATATGTTAAATACAGCACAGGTTTAGGTTTTAGGGATATCTCATTATATATATATTATATATATATATTCAAGTCAGGCTGGGCAAAAGTTGTTTGATTCGCACTGAGATAAACAGACCACGCAGATAAGCAGCATCCAGTACATGCATGTGGTAAGGCGTAAGGGAGCGTCACTACTTGCTTGGTGGTCCACCACCGGCAAGCCACTCCGCCAGGGTTCTTTGGCACAGTTTTCTTCGTTGAGGTCTCCTGAGAAGAGGAAGTGGCAGATGACAATGGTGGGGAATCCCAATGGAAGTCTATGCTGCCTAGCAATTTGGCCATGATTTTTCATGCAGAACTCGGACGTTGTTATGCTTTCGTATGCTTTCGTGTAGCGGATCGGAGTAGACGATGATTTCAGGGCTGTTATCATGAGAACAAGATGAGGGCAACCTGGACGTTGGAAGGATATACAATTGCATCATATTGAAATTCAAGAAACCTATAATTATATAGGTTAGGGTGGAAGGCAACCTGAAAGAAATGGACACCTTCCTCTTGTGGTTGTGGGTCTGGCATACCCGCTGAAAGGCAAGGGGTTCATAGATCGCGAACGCAAACGCAAGATCCACTAGGTGCCAGAACCATGGGTAGGTTTGCCTCGAACACTAAGAAAGCGAACCTGAACATGGCTGTATACAGATGCGGACCAGTGTGACCACCGTTTTGTTTTTTGTTGGAGGCCTTCCAGTTTCAGTTCCGTTTTGGTGGCCTGGGAGGCACTACGTACTCGTTTTCACGTGCCGACTCGCTGTCCGACTCGACCGACTTCGGTTCAGCGTCTCCAGGTGGATTCCGAGTGCTCCAGCCCCGCGGTCTCGCGCCTGGTGGCACGTGGGGGGCTCTGGAGCTCCGCTTCGATTTGCTGCGCTTGTCGAGTGGAGTGGTGGCCGTGGACGCCCAAGGGGTTGGGTGCATTCACCGCGGCCGGCTAGGGGTATTTTTGGGTGGGGGAGATTCAGTGACTAGATGTTCACATTTGGCATTTCCAAGCTTTCACCAAGCTTTGGAACTTTCGGAACGTTTGTTGATGTTTTTTGTTTTGGGACTCAACTTGTTTGAGCTCACCAAGTGTGGTGCACAGAGAAGCAAGCCAAGTGAGCACACAACTTCGGAAGGCATCAAACTTATTCAACTGTGTCTTTCTCGGATGAAGAGAATGATTTTGGTAATGGCTACTCAGCTACTCTTAGCATCTCATACTACTGTATAATCATGTTGTAAGATCTGTCATCCCGCTTTCGGGTGGGATGTACCGGGTGTTCATCCCCTCCGATGGTCACTGTCGGCTTTCCGTTCAGCGCTTACAGTCTGTCGGTCCTTGGAGCTGAAGCTCTTAGGAAAGGGGCGTCTACTCAAAGGGGATCCTTTCGGTGAAGAACCCGATGTGTAAAATACAGGGAAATCTGCACACTTTGGAGGTCTCAGGTATGATTTGGTTGTAATTTGGAGACTCAGCATCCCTGCACCATCCTGCACCTCCCAAAACCGTACCAGGCCCAGAGGCTGTATAGATTGATGAGATGGTTGTGTATGATGTCATGTGGATACTGTATACTGATGTATACTGTATACCTCTTAGATGGTATAGAAGGTCCATGAACCAGACCAGTCTAGAAGTGTTTTCAGTTTGCGGTCGCGTTTCAGGACTGCGACCTCAATATCACATCTTCGGCAAGGGAGATCGCCCGGACATCCCAGTGGAGACGTGACGTGGAAACGTGGAGATGGGATGAGTGTTCTGGATGGCGACAAAGCTGGAAGGGAAGTTCTTTGCACCCTAAACTATAAGAACCTAATTATTCGACCCTCCTTTGGAGGGTTTTGACCCTGCAGAGCAGAGGTTTGGACCATCAAAACCTTCACCTTCGAGGGTTTTTAATTCTTATAGGTTTGTAGAGTATTATGTACATCGTAAGAACTGCAGACGCTACCATCGTAAGAGCTGCAGACGCCACCATCGTGGCGCACAACAGTCTGGCGCACCCCCAGTCCCCCAGTTCAGTCTGCATAAGTCGAACAATCAAGCCCCAGCTCCCACACCTGATGAGGAGTTCTGGACATGCTAGTGCAAGGCTTTGTTTGCGTCAAGTGGAACTTCACCGTTCCGTGGTGTTGGTTCTTCTTGCCGGAAAATCCGCGTCCAGCGAAACCGTGTCTTCTTTCAGTAGCTATTTGGTCAAGGAATTCTATGTTCGTCGAGGGTCTTAAGCCGCCATGGAGACTCTTCTCTCGCCGCCTTTGCCCTCGGGTCCAAAGCCGGGCAAGCGCCGACCCAGCTTCCTCTTGCGGGAGGAGGTGATCGGTAGCACGATGAAGGAGCTTCCGGGCACCTTTCATCCAAAGGCTCCGAAGAGTTCCAAACGGATGCCACGACCCTGCGTGCCCACCTGCGACCAGGCGAGGCTCCGGTGTTGAAGGAGTTGAGGCGCTCCACCAGAGAATCACTTGAACAAGTCTTTAAAACAGATGAGAGGGGCTCAAGTCTTAAAGGGACGGTTATGCGAACATGTAAGTTCTATTGCTAGCGCCTTGTTTTAATGTGTTTGCTTATTCTCGTCACCGGTGACTTCCCCCTTTTCTCTCGGACCAGTACCGTTCGACCGTTCCCAGGACGGACGGTTCCAAGCAGTGGTCCAACGTTTCCAGCTCCTCCAAGCGCTTCTCCTCAAACATCCTCAAAGCTCTAAACACTGAGTGCATGTCAGGGAACTCTATTGAACCCTACTGTGGTTCTCAAAGGCAGTAGCCTAGTCGTGTCGAAATGCCCTCCCACCATCGATTTTTTTTGGGGGGGATTGATCCATTGTCACCAGTCACCATGAAACGAAGCAAAAACACCTCATCTCTTCGAATTCACATGGAGGATCTGATTCGCCGCTCTTTTTCATCAGGGGGGTCTTTCGGCTCCTTATGAAAGCATGGTAAATTGATGGTTGCACCAAGGTTCTGAATTCAACAGGTTTGTCCAGACGCACTGAGCTCGGCAGGAAGGTGCTGCGTAGGTCGGGCGACGCGACAAACGCCCGGTCCGCCAGGTCAGCGATGGGGTCGAGGCATTGCCCGAGCTTTTGGCGGGTGGGGTCGAAGCTCGGGGCATCAGCTTGGATGAGCCAAGAGGAGGTTATGGCCAGGTTGGGAAGCCCAGTAAGCATGAGAACCACTTGTCCGTTTTGATGTTTGAGCATGCACTGCGCGCCCCTGAGCCATAGTTGTTACCTGTTTCATATATAGACGCAAGCAGAAACAAGGGTGTCCTAAGGAGGCTCAGTCATGTTTAGGTCGTCCATTGGATAGTTCCGGAAAAGATTTGCACATACTTCCCTCAACAGCGCACAGCTTGGGGTTCTCTCAGGAAGAAGCTGTTGCCAGGTAATGGCCGACGAATCCTGTGTTCGGGTGTTGTCATTTAGTTGTTGTCCTTTTGGTCTCCTGTCCTCGTGCTTGTTTTCGTGCTTGGACTTGTGCCTGGACACAGTGCCTGGACACCAGTCTTGTGTCCTGTCGGGTTCTCAACACGTGTGTTCGCCGAAATTCGGGCCTTTCTCTGTTGTCCTTTGTGTCTTTCCTATGTCCACGGCAACCCGGCGCCTGTGTCCTTTTTCCGGTGGTCACATGTCCTATGTGTGTATTTTTCTTTTTTTTGGGGGGGGTGTCGTCCTTTGTGTTCACCAGGCCTTCCTGCCTGTTGGTGATTTGTCCGGGTTTTTGCTCACAGCCCGGTGACTTGAACGGTTCTGAACAGGTACCAGCAGTACTCGGCAGTCGTTTTTGCTTATCTGAATCTGGGATCCATGCTGGTGTAAGCTGTTCTATACTGAACTGGCTAAGTTCCCTTAGCTGTCCCTCTCCCAGATGAGATTTTCATGGTACAGGGTTCAAGGGCTCATTATGCCCCATTTTTGCCGAAGACGACGATCCACTCGCCTCCAATCCAGCACTGCTGGAAAAGCGAAGTTGAGCAGTCCACTGCGAAATAAATTGCGGGAAAGTTCGGATTGAAAGACCGAAAAAAAAAATCGAGCTGGACCAGCATGACATTTCTCCAAACCTATAGGGAGGAAATCAATGAGCAGAACTGAACATATTCCAATCGAAGGCGACTGGCTGTGTCCAATTTGAAGCCTCCGAAGCCACCGAAGCCCAGGTCGAGGAAGAAGCAGATCAATCGCCATTGGCATTTTCATCCAATGGCCGTGAGAAGAAACAGGCCAGTGGAGGAGCTGACTTGTTGACCTCGAATTTCTCGTGTCGACGTCTCTGCTCCAAACACGGAACTGGAATAATAGTTATGACATATTTACCTCATTTATGGCCAACGATTCCAGTCCGTTCCGTTCCATGGGATGGTCTGGGGATGGTGTTTCAAGATCCTTTGATGCCGGGACCGAGGTGCGGCGGTGGCCCTGTCACTGGCGTTCGCCAGGAAAAGACGCCAGCGATGGGTTGAGGTGTTTCAGACAACCGAGAGCCTTGACTCGGCCGTTGTTTCAGCTCATCCAGCTATATATACGTTCCGTTTGAGAGGTACATAGAGCAGGGATGAGATGTTTATTTTTCCCCACACCATGTAACGAAAGGCAACATGATGCAACTAGCAACTAGATTGTATATTTTTGGGGTTCTTCCTCCCAAAGATTGAGGATTGCAGTGTCCAAAAATCGCCTCCCGCCCTGAGGGCCCTGACCCCCCCCCAGCAGCACCGCCCCAGCGCCCCACATGCAGCGCAGGTGCGATTCCAGTTGGACTCGGTGGCCGAAAGGCCCGAGCACGCGGTGTATCCTGGAGAGAGTGAGCCGGTGCTCCAAATGACCTTGGCCCAGCTTCTGGGCCGATTGGGGTGGAGTGGACCGTTCGAGAGGACGAAGAAGTAAACGAGCATGAACTGGCAAGCAGCCTCCCATGCACACAGGAAACACTCCATTTTCCGTAAGTGTCCTTCACTCCGATCAGAGACTGATCGGTTGGGGTGCTTGAAAAGGTGCTTGAAAATTGCGAACCGAGAGGGGTTCAGGGGTTCAAGGTAGCTACCACATTTACGATGGAGTGTTTGGGCTGGGCTTGTCGTTGGACGGCAAGGTGAATAATTAGAGATGCCCCTTGTTGTGAAGCTCATGTCATTTTCAGATTCGATGTTCAGATGAGGAGATGCCAAAACAAGGGGATCTCCGGCTAGTCGATGCACTTCAAACCTCGGCGGAATCGGTGGTAGCCGTCAGACTCGATCATTTTAAACAACGTAAACAGATCTCAACAGATGTGTTTGGCGTGCGTTTTCTTTGGGATCAATACGTCGGGCTCTCAGCTGATGTGGTAAGCTCTTCCATTCATTCCATTCACTACGTTCAAAGCAACGAAGAACTCACTGACCTGCATCATTGTTGAGTCATGTGTCCATAAGAACCCTTGGGCCAAATTTGGGCCCTCCGGCAGTCGGACGATTGCATGGCAGAGGTCCGGTTGCTTGGGGCCCGGAGATCTTAGGATATCTACCAGGACCCTCCAACAGGTCACCACCTGCAACTTTTTAGTCTACAAAAGCCTCCAGAGGTGACCTGTTGGAAGGTGCTCGTATATGTTCTTTTAATGGTTTTTACTTGTTTTCCCAACATCTAAGGCTTGGCCGGCGACATCAACAGAAGCTTCGGGTGATTCACGGCACTTAAGGCGCCCAGGACTCATTGAAAAAGCCTCTTCATGTGTGGGGTTGAAGTATCACATTAAGATAAAAACTACTAGCTTCTTGTTACTAGTAGCGTCTTGCTCCTAGTAGTACGGCCAGGAGCCCCTAGTAGCGATGCACTTGCTAGTAGCGATGCCCTTTGCTCCTAATAAGAGATCCACAGCAATTGATTCCATCCACATCCATCCACCACATCTGAGACGTACTCATTTCGCCCACATACACAGGCGCCGACCGGCGGCGGCGAGCGCCGCCTTGGCGCGCTGGGCGCGCCCAGGCGCTTGACTCCGTTGACAAGCAGAACTTCCTCTTACGGCAGTAGTCCATGTTGTTCATCAGCAGCAAAACATGCTGGCTGTTTGGGAGCCAGCAGCTGTTGGACTGTAGAAATCTGGCAGAGTCTGACTTGGATTCACTTCTTTTTGTTTCTTTTGGTTTGGAACATCCTGGGGTGCCGCTGCGGATCTGCTACCGACGTGGATCTGCCAGGCTCGTCAGGTTGGGCAGAAAAGAGCAAAGCCGATCTGAGGACAGCGAGAAACATGGAGAAACCGAGAGATGCAGATCTTGGAATGATCTCGGACTTTCAAGACTCGGTCAGGAAAGATCTGTCGAGGCGATGACTCTGTTTCAAGTGACTTTTTGGGCAGGAGAGCCAGTGTTTTCCCATGCCAATCAGGGGCACCTTTGCAAGTGTGAATTAAGGCCCCAGGCCGTATAAGGTAAGATGACACCTTTGTTCATGATTATGGCATTTAGCCTGACAAAGATGGAGTTTTGATTCTATCAGTTTGTACCTGAGACTCCTGGTTTCGTAGAGGCTTACGTTTCCCACTGGTTCGAAGTGTTCTATTCCAGTCAAAGCACCTCTATATACAAACAAGCCGTTAATTCCATTCTTGGCAGGTGAGGGCCTTCCTTCAACTAAATCTAAATGTCACATATACAGCTTATCACAGCTCCAATCTTTCAAGACATCATGCACAAGATGTTAGTTACGATGTTCACGTGGTTTTTCTCTGCCAAATGAGACCCCGTTGGCTATCTCTGGCTTTCTGAGACGCCTTCGCTTGCCACTTTCCAGACATGCGCCATGCGTGGCTCCAAAGGATCGTCGGGACTCCCAACCAGCCATAGCAACCAGCCAACTTAA